TGATTGGCATGTCACCATATTCTAATTTGTTGAGATAGTGAATTGGTGGGTTTTTGTTAAATGTGAGCAAAAATCATCACAATTAAAAGAACCAAAGACTTAAACTACTTCAGTCTGTGTGCATTGAATTTATTTAATACACGAGTTTCACAATTTGAGTTGAATTACTGAAATAAATGAACTTTTCCATGACATTCTAATTTATTGAGATGCACCTGTATACTGTACACCACTTCAGATGCAGCCTCTGTGCAAACGGTAATGCAAAAAATATGAATTTCAACTCACAAAATAAATGGAAATATGTAATTTATGTAGACAGTGAGGTAGATGTTGTCACGCAAATAAGAAAACTGATAATAGGCAGCATAAAAGGCATCTCAAACCCTGAAATGAGTGTATGCTGAATTGCTTACAAATTACTCCTTTTATGCAGAATATTTCACACATCAGTAAAGCATAAGTAGCCTATATAAGAACTCCAATGAAGCTGATCATATTAGTTGACAACTAAAATGTATTCTGCATTTAAGTTACTCAGGTTTAGTATGTAACCAGTACTCAGTTTAAACAGTACTCTGTTTTAATATTCATGCATACACTTTATTTGTTTTAGATTTTCAGTATTATGTTGTAGTCGAGGTAGCTGGCATGACATATTTACAACACCACCAAACGATAACCTTGAGGGAGCTTGAAACTATTTATTCTTTATAGGGCAACAATACACTGTCAAAAACACAATGCACAAGTAAAAAAACCAAAAAAAACCCAGTAGAATTCACATTTTGACACATTTTCAAATGATTTTATTATTATACAATTGAAAACATAACCCTATGTTAAACAAATAAAAACATAAAAAGGTTGACCTTTAATTGATTTGTTTGCATTGATCTAATCAGCATGAAAAAAGTCAGCTCAGATTATGTATTTTGTTTGAAATTTCACAAAATTTAGTCCACTTGATAGGTAGGCAAACTAGTTTGTAAAAGAAAGTTTGCAAAAAGAAAGTTTGCTAATGCAACCAGACGACTGAAAAACGTATTCCAGTCACCATATATTCTCACCTACCTGTCTGATTGAATGAACAGTACACGGTATTGTGAATAGTAAGAGTGTACTATGAATATAATATAAATGCATTTAAACCTAAATTTAAAGAAACAGCATTAGAATAGTAATAAACAGGCATTTGTTGAAGGATATGTGGCTTCGCTCTTGGCATTCACCGCGTGCCTTAATTGAAATACATTAAATCAAGGTCCACTGTGAACACGTACAGCGAGAGCCTAAAGTGCAAAGAGAGATTCATCTGGGCCTGATGAAAATCTGAATCATCATAGATATACATCATGACTTGGTCCATGCACCGCAGGCCAGACAAATCGTATTCTGCCAACAGGTGTATTTATTCAAAAGCCTTACTTAAGGCCTATTTAGATATGAATCTCATCCTGGTTAAATAACGCTCAATGTTTCCTTATCTGGTGAGCCATACTGGAAGCCTGTGTTCAGACGGACAAAGCACACAGCCAGGGGCAGTGCGTTCAGAATGCCTGCACATCCAAGGCATCAATACAGCCTTCCATCCCTGTAACCTATAAAACATCAAAATCATAACAGTTTAACCATGATGGCAACCAGGACTATTCGACATGCAATACACAGAATAACGTCGAACATTAGACAACACACGCAAATAAATCCCCAAATATAAGCCTCATATAAAACGGTTTAATGATCCCAATATTCGCCAATTAAATCGTACCAGAATACGCAGAAGATTCATAAGGTTATTATTTAATCCCACTGCTGTCGGCAGGAAGCATCCGCGATGATACCCGCATCACCACTGCATCATCCCACAAAGGTGGATGAGACTTGTTTATTATCTACGTTTGTTTTAAGATTTTGGAGTTCATGTACATACCTCCGTGAAGCGATGCAAACCTGTTCATATCGCTGATTAATATTAAAGCGGACTTTCAAATAAATGACGAGCCAACGACATATAAATATGGAAACTGCGCGAGCGAGGGAGGCGTGACGTCACCATGCAGCCAGATGTTGAATCCGTGCGTCCTTGAGTTTAGCTACAGGCTATTAGCCAACAAAGGACGTGCCAAACGATTGATTGATTATAACACTTAAATGACAGTACTGCTAAAAAAAAAGAGAAAAATACAAACAAACAAAAAAAGTAGCTTTTGGGCAGAACGCATGCCACATCAAAACATGAAATGGAGGGCTGCTATGATTATGTTATGTTGGTTCAATTCAAACATCTAATATAAATCCGTTCATGTACATACCTCCGTGAAGCGATGCAAACCTGTTCATATCGCTGATTAATATTAAAGCGGACTTTCAAATAAATGACGAGCCAACGACATATAAATATGGAAACTGCGCGAGCGAGGGAGGCGTGACGTCACCATGCAGCCAGATGTTGAATCCGTGCGTCCTTGAGTTTAGCTACAGGCTATTAGCCAACAAAGGACGTGCCAAACGATTGATTGATTATAACACTTAAATGACAGTACTGCTAAAAAAAAAAAGAGAAAAATACAAACAAACAAAAAAAGTAGCTTTTGGGCAGAACGCATGCCACATCAAAACATGAAATGGAGGGCTGCTATGATTATGTTATGTTGGTTCAATTCAAACATCTAATACAAATCTAGTACTAAGAAGAAAACATATCTTCAAGTAACAAGTAACAACCATGTTTTGGTTAATCATTACATCACATTTGAACTACAAATCAAGACACTGAAATGTAATAATACTTCTGTTAACTGTTGACCAACTAGCAGTTTACCAAGTGGTAAACAGTCTTACTTTTCAGATTCAAATTAGACTAATCTAACTTTTTTATGCAATTGACTTCATGACCAGTCTTGAAGGAAAACATTTACATTACTATCTTTAAATACCAGTCATTAAAGACTTTAAAGATCAAGTGCTGGTTGCATAAACTGCTTAGACTAGTCTTAAAAAGTTAGCTATCTAATCTGTTAACTGTTTAAAGTCAGTTACAAAAATGTAGGCCCGATTTTAATAAGAAAAGTGAGACTCATCTCTTTGCTAACTGCTAGTTGGTCAAACTAGTTCTTAAGACACAGTCTTAACATAGTGGCTATGTTTATGCAACTGACCGCTGAACTCTGTCTGTGTGTATACAGTATGTGTTCAAAAGTGATATGCAGGTAAGTGTGTGAGTATGTGCATGTAATGTGTGTGTGTGTTCAAGTGAATGTTGGAAAGTATTCCAAGTGTGCATCTGTAAGTCGTTATTTGTGTGTGTGTTTGTACATGTGATGTAACTTGTAGCCTACATGACAGAGAGAGGGTAAGAGAGAAGGAAATTATTTTAAAAAGCTTTTGACTTAAATTAAAAAGGGGAGATACCAGACTATTGAAAGTGTTTCTTTATTAATCCATAAAATTACAATTTTGTTATGTCATGGCAAGCTTTTACATCAATGTTGTGATAAGGGACAGCATGTTGGGACGGTTGCAACAAGATGTGGCAACTATCCCTATACTGACTACCCTGATAAATCTTGCTATGCTAGCTTTAACACATGCTAGCTATGCCTGTTAGAAGCTAAGAAACACTGATTAAAAATGATATGACTTTACAAGCTTCACACAAACAGTTTAGACAGTATGACAAATAATTTTTTATACCTTAACATTTTTATTTATTTTGTTTTATTTATTTTTTGCAGAAGGAATGGTCACATGTGGCTGCTTTTTTCAAGAAAGGACTAGGTCTTAATTGAGCATGTGCAGCATGAATAACATTACTGTAGTTCATTCCTGATTGAAGGAATAAGCCATGTTACAACTGCAGCTTGTTGCAACCCTCCCCACTTTTTTCTAATTGTTTGCTAAAACAATAGTTATATTATTGTTGTCTATTATATATTTTGTCTTTTACATTTTAGGTTTTCTTTAATTACGTAGTTTGTGTTTTGCTGTTACATAGACGAAAATATGCCTAATATGCGGTACGTGACGACATGCCCCACTATTGTGTTCAATTAACTTTATTGAGTAATAGCGGTGGAAATAAACAGCAACAGGTGCATCATGCACTTATTATTTTTGAGGGGGCACGAGGTATTAATATTTTTAATAAGATTGACTTTGTTTTTAACATGAATTTAATAACGTGAATTTAAGAAAAAAAAAACATTGTAAGTTACTAATTATACCACTTTCATTGTACAGAAAGAGAGCAAAGAACATTTACATTATCAAATAACATTATCATTGACTTCAGTCTAGCCACTCTCAAAAACTTCACTGATTATAATCACTGAAGCTGTTTACACTGTGAAATGCACATCTTACTTACATCGTTTGCACATCTGCACTTCGTTGTTTCTGATGAGAGAGAATTAATTGGCCAGAGAGCAGAATTCGGTCAGCGACCCGCGCAGTGAACAAAAAGCCGGCGTTTCAGCGATGACTCATCTGAACGCCTCTGATTGGCCGTTGCAATTTATAAACTTAACAGACTCGTGTGTGATTGGTCATAATGCGCAGCGCTGTAAAACGCGTCTGTCTCTGGCTCAGCGCCAGCCAGCGAAAGCAGATTTGAATTTAGCAGCTAGTGATGTGCCGCACATCACACCCATGTGATTGTATCAATTATAAAAAATATTAGTCGGCTATTTTTTTTTCTTTTGGAAGCTGCATTCCAAATCCACTTGGCTCGAAAATCTGAGGGGGAATGGGCATGACGCCTCTGGACAGCAATATGATTAATTCATTTTACATCTTGGTTTACTCTCTCTTAAACAGCTGGAGGAATTACATAGGCTAACGTTACCTACATATCTTTGTAAGGAATTTACTTCAGTTTTGAATAAGTCGTGGGTCTTGTGTCTCTTTAAGCTGGTGAGAGACAATTCAGTCCGGAGTTTTCTTGGTTAATGTTTGACAAACCTTGACCTGTACAAAGGTGAAAAACATTAGGCGATAGCTGTCAGTGGGATGTGAGGGGCTCATTCCCTGCCCCCTTTACGCAACACCCCTGCTCAGAGAACATGACTTTCGATCGACTCGCGCAGATATGAAGTCTGAAGAAGCTGACAACATCGAAGAATTAAATAATTTACCTGTTGATTCTATTCGGATTGCACCGTATTTGTCTGAACTGAAACAAAAAGCAGAAGTGAGCATTCGACACTTGAATTTGTCGGCAACTTTTTTGATCCGGTTTCTTCAGGCGAGAGACTTTGATGTGGCGCTGGCGCTCAAGGTTTGTAGCACTCCTTTAAACGATGACTGAACTCCACTGATATTAACTTGTAAACCAAGTTAACGTGCTTTCTGTAGTATAGTGATACCGGTGGTGATACGTGATTTGATTAGCAATAATATTTACTGGCGACAGGCCCTTTGACACAGTGCATGAATCTAACTGCTCATTTCCGAATTATATTAATAATTTATGCGAAAGAAAATAAGGCATTTACAATCGCTATTTTGATTTTCATAATTGTTGTTTTTACCTATGATTTATGGTTACTGAGGTCAAGTATAGTTTGCTTATTTTCTTCCTTGTATTGTGTTTATATACTTGAGTTCATTTTAAACTGTATTATAATTTAGATATGGGGTGTCAAACTGATCCTGGGGCTAGTTGTTCAAAAAGTTTAATCTGGATCAGAATGATCTGGATTTGGAAATCCCATGTTTTGCTATCCAGGATCAGGTAACCCATCTTACTTTTGTGCCGTTTTAAAAAAAAAGCAAAATTGGATCGGATCACCCTGATCCAGATACACACTTTTTCAGATTTCCAAATCTGGACTGCTAGTGCTCTATGGAGCTCCTAAAGGCACATGGTGATGGTAAAAAAGGGCAAATGTTTTGCATTCTAGTTTTGCATTGCATTTACACAAATAACTACTTCTGACTGGTCCATCTCCGATGATTGTTGTTTACAATCAGTGATAAAAAAAAACTTTAAATTAAATATAATATCTTTGCTTGATACTAATAGCTGTTTGGTGATTTGGGGAAATATTACATATTACAAATGTTGTATTTTTTGGACCAGTTTTAAACTTTTGTTACATTTTTGTTCCTGAAATCCACCCTTATGCTGGGATTTTTTTGGGGGGGATCAAAAGTATCCCAATCTTACTAAAACGTTTCGAACAACACAAACTGAGGATTTAATCCAGATCTAAACCAAGATTGGATTTTGTGATCTAATCCGAATTCAGAATCCTTTTTTTTCTTTTGAACAACCCATTTTCAAGATTTGATCCAATCCGATGGCCAAATCCGATCAGATTACTTTTGAACAACTGGCCCCTGGCCCCTGGAGGGCAGGAGCCCTGCAGAGTTTAGATTCAATCCTAATTAAACACATCTGATCCAACTAATCAAGTCCTTCAGGCTTATTTGAAAAATACATGGTATGTGTGTTGGAGTAGGCCCCTGGCCTAGAGTAACCTATTTACTGCAGTTTTCTGCCTCTTCATTTTTATTTAATGTAAATGTAAATTTCTGGCCACCAACATGTTCCTTCTTAAGTCTAGAATTTAGTTATTTCAGCCATGTTAGCAATTGAATTTACAATAATCTACACAACTGTATACTGTATGTTTATAGCTGACATTCAGATGCATTCAGATGTCAACCCAACCATAATAAATGTAATGAGCAATTCTTCTTTGAATTATGTGTTATTAAGATTTTATGTGTTAATAATATTCTTAAGTTAAAAAACTTTAGACTAACATATCATTGATGTTGTATTTTTTTATCCACAGCTTTTGATTAACTATCATAAATTAAGACAAGAATGTCCAGAAATAACAGCTGATCTGCGGCCATCATCCGTCAGTGGACTTCTGCAAAACAATTACCATGGAGTTTTGAGATCACGAGATGATGCTGGAAGTCGAGTTTTAATCTATCGGATTGGCAAGTACATACACAAATCATTTTTTAAAAGTTGTCTTGTTCATTATAATGGTGAATATCACAAAATGTAAAATGTTTTCAGGTCAGTGGAACCCCAAAGAATTCACAGCTTATGAGGTTTTCCGTGTAAGCCTCATTACATCAGAGTTGATTGTTCAAGAATGGGAGACTCAAAGAAATGGACTCAAAGCAATTTTTGATCTCCAAGACTGGTGCTTCGCACATGCCCTGCAGATAAATCCTTCTTTGGCAAAAAAGATCTCTTCTGTACTTACAGTAGGTATCCATTAAAACATTTTCATGAAACATTTATAAGACGTCACTTATTCAGATTTCTGTAGAAGATCTGGCTTTAACACCCCTAACTTCATCTGCTAAAACTTGCTTATCAATGTCCTGTATAGTTTTTTTTGTTGATTCTCTTTCTCTTATTGCAAGGTTTTAATATTACCTAAAAAATGTATATAACAAATATAAAATCTATTTTGCAGGACTCCTTTCCTTTGAAAGTACGTGGCATCCATTTGATAAATGAGCCTATTTTTTTCCGTCCTGTCTTTGCTATGATCCGTCCATTTCTTCCAGACAAAATCAAACAACGGGTTAGTCACATTTAAGTACATATATGTGTGATTTTAAGAGTATTCACTTTAAAAGATTTAATATCAGTGGTGTGTTTTTATTTATAGATTCATATGCATGGGAGTTCATATGCCCAAAGTCTCTGTGATTACTTTCCGAAGGCTATCCTCCCTCCTGAGTATGGAGGAACCGGACCCAGCATAGATGAAGTGTGCCAAGATTGGACTGAGTACATCATGCAGTCTGAAGACTATCTCTATAGGCTCTCTCTAGACTTAGGTGGAGGCGATGCTTCTCAGTCATCTGCCGATGAGTGATTACAATGAAGGTATTTCTTACCATGTGCTCTTTATGCTAGATGATGTAACAGATCCTGCTGGGGCAGGTTACACATAGTCTCCGAAAATCAGGATAATATTGCTGACTTAAAATTCACCCAAAAATTTTTATTTACTCACCCTCAGGCCATTTGAGATTGTCCACTGGAACAGATTCTGAGAAATTTAGCATTACATCACTGCAGTGAATGGGTGCCATCAGATTGAGAGTTCAAAGAGCTGATAAAAACATCACAATAATCCACAAGTCATCAATGAACATCTTATGAAGCAAAAAGCTGCATGTCTGTAACAAATTAATCAAGACTTTTTTTTTTTTTACTTCAAACAGTTGCTTCCAGCTAAAAAAAAAGAAAAAAAAGAGTCATCTATCCATAATACTGCTTTCTCCAGTGGAAAAGTCATCTAATATGAATAAGGAGAGAAATAGATTAAGCTTTGTTTATAAGTGGAAAAAAGTCCAAAACAATTCTAAACAAATTTGTCTGTGGATGACCTGAGTGAGTAAATTTTCATTTTTGGGTGAAACATTCCTTTAAATTGTAAAGCATATTAGTGTAAACATATATGCTTTGCTTATATACTTATACTTTTTTTTTCATATTGTACTTGAATTAATGGTGCAACTTTTTAAATTGTATGCCTAGCTCTCCTAATATTCCAGACTGGGGGGAAAAAAAGAAATTCCCAGTTACTTAGTTTGACTAAGTCATATTTTTGTATAATGTGATTTTATTGAATTCTATATCACACAGATATTCACTGCAAGTACTTGATATACCTCTGAAGTTACAATATAGCATGAGATATCATATTTTGTGTTTACTTTTAGAAGAAGGATTCCACAGTCACTTGTAAATAATACAAGTAGTGCACAATATTGTGCATTACCGAAATATCAAAGTGCCTTTCTTATTTTCCTTGTGAATTGTCAAGGTTTTTATTGTTGTATTTTCATAACAATGGACATAACTCAGGATGTCACATACGTCTCTGTGCTTCTAGAAGTTAGATATCAATTATCATGAACTGCTTCATTATATTGCTGCTCTTAAGTCAAATGATCTGTAATGTAACTGTAAACTGCAGCATTTATTAGCCTTTGCTGAATTTGAAATAAATAAACAGCTGAAGACATGTACTTATTTAGGCTAAACCAAGTGGGATTACAAAATGGCACTTTGGTCTAGTGCCTTTTGCTCTGACTCTTAAACAAATATAAACAGAGACTAATGACCTTACTGGAGCTCGTCATGTTTACAGATTTCCTTAAATGTGAATTTCTGAAACCATGTATATACTCTAATTCAGTTTGTTGCATTCTTTCTGTCACAGTGTATCTAAAGACAGAAGAAAAGGACTGTTTTACATTATTTAATTGTGCTGTCCTCACTTATTATCAAACTATGACTGTTTTTTTTAATTTAATGTACATTATCATAATGATAAAAAGTTATACACAGACATATTAATACACAATGTGCAACTCAAATAAACTTGGCAGCCAAACAATTGCAAAGGTCATTGTGTGAAATTCTTTCCCCAACTGATTTTTGAAATCTGTGTTATTCAGTATTATCTGCAAATTCCAACTGGGTGGCTATGGTAAGCACTCCATTCCTTGCTTATTCTTAATATATTTAATTCTTACAACATTTTTTTTTTAGATATATGATACAATTGTAAGATATAAACAATAAGAAGATATATTATTAATAGTAACAATAAGTCACTAAGAAATCATTTAAAACCATAGTTTTGTAGTCTGGTTAGGGACATAAAACTTGAATGTTAAATCTCCTGGGGGAACCAAGAAGATCCTAAGATAACAATCCCTCCGTATCAGCATGGTGTCATTGCCAGTGTTGGGGGTAACGCATTACAAGTAACGCGAGTTACGTAATCAGATTACTTTTTTCAAGTAACTAGTAAAGTAACGCATTACTTTTTAATTTTGAAGAAAATCTCGGAGTTACTTTTTCAGATAAGTAACGCAAGTTACTTTTTTTCCCCAATTTATTGATTGACAGCTCTCCTGTCCCCATGTTGAGAGAAATCAGAAGATGTTACTGTAGTTCTCAAATAAATATGAATATGCATTAATTCATCTCACTCACAAAATAAAACACAGATTCAGTATTCCTCAAAATGAATACAAATAATGAAACTCAGAAAATGACGCAAACCTGCAATAATTAAATGTTAAACAACACAAATATCCTTTATGTATTTAATCCCATTCTATTTGCTTCTGACCTTCGATGATCCAGTTCAACCATACTAATAATTACTCAAACATTTGTGTCTTTTTTTATTGCTGAAGTGTGTTGAAATTTCTTATTCTGTATTGTACTTTACTTTCCCTTCAGCCTGAGGCTTATTCATTTCACTTTTGGTGTGAAAAGGCTTTTATATTTGCCAAAAATAGAACTTTTTTATTTTAAAAACAAACAAGCAAGCCCTGTCCAGATTTAAAAAGTAACGCAAAAGTAACGTTACGCATTACTTTCCATAAAAAGTAACTAAGTAACGTAATTAGTTACTTTTTTATGAAGTAACGCAATATTGTAATGCATTACTTTTAAAAGTAACTTTCCCCAACACTGGTCATTGCGTAAGGGCCATATTCCCATGTTTTTCTAGCGGGTACTATCTGTACAGTACAATTGGTCTGCATTTTTATTGTATTCATTCTGTGCACATTATCCACCAAATCACACTTAAAACAATCTCCTGGTAATGAGACTGACGCAAAGAAATGACAACTTTATACCCCAGTTCTGTCATACTGTAAGAATATTGTTGAATTGATTGAGGCTATATTTCAGGGCTGTCCAAACTCGGTCCTGGAGGGCCGGTGTCCTGCAGAGTTTAGCTCCAACTTGCCTCAACACACCTGACTGGAAGTTTCTATGCCTAGTAAGAGCTTGATTAGCTGCTTCAGGTGTGTTTAAATGGGTTTGGAGCTAAACTCTGCAGGACACCGGCCCTCCAGGACCGAGTTTGGACAGCCCTGTTTTAGGCGATTATTGCACGCCCTCTGCTGGTAAAAACACAAAATACACGATAACATAATTTTTTTTTTACAGCATGACACACTAACAACCAGTAATATCCAAAGCGCTACTGTGCAACATTATATTGTGACACCTATCACTTCAGAATGTATAGGCAAATGTATCCTGAAGATTTACACTGTGAAATACAACGAATGTCACTTTCTCACACATGCCAAATGGTGGGAAAGGCCCAAATGGTTCCCACACCTCATTAACCTAAAGCAACCATCTAAGATTGTATCATGCTAATACAGAAAGAGTATTGTGGCATGTTTATATTTGAGGAGCACTGAATAAATGTGTTAATAAAGTTATAGTTAGTTTTGTGCACATAGCTGCAATCTTTAATCCAGTCTGTAAATTACGGTTATAATTATCTAGATTTGAACTTTTTTGTCAAGAAAACATGTGGGACAAATGATTCCTCAACTCTTTTGTCACTTAAGTGGTGATGGTTGTTACAAAGGGTAAAAATAGGTTTGACTGTTACACTGATCTAATTAAGCATAATTAATCAAGTTAATCTTGCTTTCTTATCTTTCACTTATATGATTGACATGCATAAGTAGTGTGGCAGCACTGCCTGAGATTAGGGGGAATTCTCGCGAAATCTCGAGTTTCGACAGAATAATTCAAGGAAAATCTTAATTATTAAAGATTCTCCTATATGAATGTCAGAGTGTATAACAGTTTGAAAACAATTAAAGTTTCAACGGGTTTTAAACTCATATAAGTATCAAGTTCCACACTACTTACTACTGTCACTTTAGGATGAGGTGGACAAAAGCAGAAAGGGGGTGGAGCACAACTTAGAGTCAATGGAACAATTTGTACCAAGACAAAAGTACACAGTTTTCGTTGTTAATTTCCCCCCCTCACAATATAAAGCATTATTAGGACAAATTCGGTACAACTTTGAAATCTGTTAAACTAATGTAACGTGCAACTGTGTTTCCTTCATTGTGTGTTTTGTACAGGCTAGATTTGCAAGTAAATTTGAGGCAGAAAAGATCTTACTTCCAGAGTCCAGGCAGCAGTAATTTTGCAAATCACAACCTACGCAAGCTCTATGTAGTTCACACATAACACGACAAAATCATTCGACCGTTATACGCAAAGATAAGAATTATGATCATCACGTTAATTGTTTTGCATTAACATCAGTGTGTGAAAAGATATGGATTGGATCTCGCGAGAAGTCCAACCTTCCATCTTGCCACGTTCCAGCGCTGGCAGGAAAACACAGGGGCAGAACTGGGCGGTCTTACCTCGCAGGTATCCACACGATTGAATAAGCCATTGGCCACTGCTCAGCGATTGGATGGCATTTTCATTCGCCCCGCCCACAGCGTCTTTTGTCTGGACAGTATTGGTCGAATTTTCAGTCACTCAAAGGGGGGAAGGGTTGCTATGGGCCTCGGTGTATGAAGGCGTAGGGATTTGATTTTGCAGGGCATCCGTACCAGAGCTGAGACTGGAATTACAGTCAGTTTATTTGTTACAGAACAAGAAACGTCGAAGAACTTTCACTTGCAATGGCTAAGAAAAATGCAAAAGGACCAGTTAAAAAAGGTGTGTATGTTTACTTTTCTAAAAAATACGTGCATTCTGCGAAGGCCTGAAAGTTAATCGGCGGCAAGATTGATTTTTGTTTATCTAATTATATCTGTATAGGAAAGGGGGTGGAGCACAACTTAGAGTCAATGGAACAATTTGTACCAAGACAAAAGTACACAGTTTTCGTTGTTAATTTCCCCCCCTCACAATATAAAGCATTATTAGGACAAATTCGGTACAACTTTGAAATCTGTTAAACTAATGTAACGTGCAACTGTGTTTCCTTCATTGTGTGTTTTGTACAGGCTAGATTTGCAAGTAAATTTGAGGCAGAAAAGATCTTACTTCCAGAGTCCAGGCAGCAGTAATTTTGCAAATCACAACCTACGCAAGCTCTATGTAGTTCACACATAACACGACAAAATCATTCGACCGTTATACGCAAAGATAAGAATTATGATCATCACGTTAATTGTTTTGCATTAACATCAGTGTGTGAAAAGATATGGATTGGATCTCGCGAGAAGTCCAACCTTCCATCTTGCCACGTTCCAGCGCTGGCAGGAAAACACAGGGGCAGAACTGGGCGGTCTTACCTCGCAGGTATCCACACGATTGAATAAGCCATTGGCCACTGCTCAGCGATTGGATGGCATTTTCATTCGCCCCGCCCACAGCGTCTTTTGTCTGGACAGTATTGGTCGAATTTTCAGTCACTCAAAGGGGGGAAGGGTTGCTATGGGCCTCGGTGTATGAAGGCGTAGGGATTTGATTTTGCAGGGCATCCGTACCAGAGCTGAGACTGGAATTACAGTCAGTTTATTTGTTACAGAACAAGAAACGTCGAAGAACTTTCACTTGCAATGGCTAAGAAAAATGCAAAAGGACCAGTTAAAAAAGGTGTGTATGTTTACTTTTCTAAAAAAATACGTGCATTCTGCGAAGGCCTGAAAGTTAATCGGCGGCAAGATTGATTTTTGTTTATCTAATTATATCTGTATAGAGATTATAAACAAGCAAAATAATACGAATGACCCCAATGCATTGTGTCGACTACAGTCGTGGTATATAAACTGCCTTAGTTGTGTTACACTGTAACCACAAATAGTTCTTGAATCGTTGCTAACGTTACATTGCTGAGCGAGTAAGAACTTTTCTGTTCGAAACAGTCCGAGAGGGGTGTAATAAACCCCCCTGAACACGCCTATGCACTTGGAAAATTAAACGAAATCGTTGCAGAAATTCTGCATGCGTTTAGTCTTACTTGCACGAGCACCACAAGGCCTAGTTTATTGCACTGTTGGTTAATTCCGATAGCAGCAAATGGCCTTTATTTTCAGATAAATGTTTGCACATCGCTGGAGCCAGAGTTGCCCCAGTGCGAGCTCTTAAATGCTCACGTGTCAATATTGAGAGAGCATGGGAGGGGTTACACGTGGCCTCTAGGGTCCCATGTCCACACACACTCTGTAATTAAAAAGAAAGTCTGCCACACTGCAGGACCCCACTGCTGGTTAACAACGTCTGGGCGTTGGGTTTAGCTATCTAGCTATTATTATTGACTTTAGTAACTGCGTGGTTATTACGCAAGAGTGGTAGATGAACTATCAAACTGTTCAAGGAATATGAGCGGCAAGATTGATTTTTGTTTATCTAATTATATCTGTATAGAGATTATAAACAAGCAAAATAATACGAATGACCCCAATGCATTGTGTCGACTACAGTCGTGGTATATAAACTGCCTTAGTTGTGTTACACTGTAACCACAAATAGTTCTTGAATCGTTGCTAACGTTACATTGCTGAGCGAGTAAGAACTTTTCTGTTCGAAACAGTCCGAGAGGGGTGTAATAAACCCCCCTGAACACGCCTATGCACTTGGAAAATTAAACGAAATCGTTGCAGAAATTCTGCATGCGTTTAGTCTTACTTGCACGAGCACCACAAGGCCTAGTTTATTGCACTGTTGGTTAATTCCGACAGCAGCAAATGGCCTTTATTTTCAGATAAATGTTTGCACATCGCTGGAGCCAGAGTTGCCCCAGTGCGAGCTCTTAAATGCTCACGTGTCAATATTGGGAGAGCATGGGAGGGGTTACACGTGGCCTCTAGGGTCCCATGTCCACACACACTCTGTAATTAAAAAGAAAGTCTGCCACACTGCAGGACCCCACTGCTGGTTAACAATGTCTGGGCGTTGGGTTTAGCTATCTAGCTATTATTATTGACTTTAGTAACTGCGTGGTTATTACGCAAGAGTGGTAGATGAACTATCAAACTGTTCAAGGAATATGTACCCCTGCTATTACATTTTAGACACGCGTGTATAGAGTTATCATATGGGCTGACTTTACGCCGTAAAGAGGTTAATTTAAAAATTAAGGTTAAGCAAAAACTAAAATGTTACTGTAAAACCTTTAAATAGGTAAACTGTAAGTTATTTCACCATATACGATGAAAATATGTATTTACAGGTCAACACGTGCAATTATATTGTATAATTGTTTTCAGTAATTTATTTATTAATTTTTACGTTATTTAGTGTTGTGTGTTACCTTGTTTGCCAGGTCCCCTGTACACTTTCTATTAATGTTTGTTAGCTACTGTTCATGGTAAAGCCTATTTAGTTCATGGAAATGCTTAATTTATCATGTGGCCTGAATTTATGGAGATTGAATTGTTGCTTAATTCCAAATAAATAGATTACGATCCATAAATAAATGTAAAGAGATTAACAAACATTAAACATATTGACAAATAAACAGAATGAGATGAAGTTTCACAAACATGAATTAAATTCACAAATAGAAAATGAGATTTGCAAATAAAAAAGCACATTCACAAATACATATTTATGTCACAACCACAACTTTGCCTGGCATTTATTTGTGAATCGCGTCCTGTGCATTTGTAGATAGCTGCACGCATTTGTGAGTCGCGTCCTGTGCATTTGCGAATTGTGAAACATTTCTTGCGTTAAAGACGTGCTGACAATCCACAAATACGTGGACTCCACCCACCGTCTACTCAAGCCAATCAGATAACAGCCACATTTCGCTAACCAATTGTAACACGATCTCGCTATAGCCAATCACGTTTTGCTTTACAATCAGGGCGGTCTCATCCTGAGATAACTTCATTCATCTGCATTGGCTCAAATAGGTAATATAAGGGCCATAAAATGGGTACAGTAAAATATGTTTAAAATTCAATTTCGTTAGACCATTAGACTGTGTATCATGCCAAGCCACAGTATTATATTTTATGTGCCTTTGAAAATGCCAGAGAAACAGCTTTAAATCACGGCTATGGGAACAACGCTATACTGGATTCAAACGCGTTATGGAAGCATCATGTTATTCAATATGGAAATAAAAGCGTCAATAAGTAACTGACTAATTAATAACTGAACTCAACCTCATAATAAACATTTGTTTGTGTAATAGGTTAAATTGGCGTCACACAACAGCCAACAGCATTTCACATTATTTTAGTCAAGTCGATGTATATGAGCTGCTCTGTGGATCTAACTATGTATGAAGTTTTTGATATTCTGTGGAGGTCAGTTCACAGCAGTGATAGAAATGAATCTACCAATAAGCTTAAATATATATATTTTTACCTTTTATAAGAATTTTTACATTTATAAAGCCATTTTTCTTAAAAGTGTGCATATTTTTGAGTCAAATTCTTGCATATAATTTGTCAATTAGAATAATGAGACATTTGGGCTGTTACCAAACAAATGGTATAAATATTAACAAAATGAATCTTTGCAATGCAGAGGAAACACAGAAGCTGCATCTGGAATGGCATTTAGATGTCACGCTGTTTAATGCAGCTCAGAGGGACATGGGATGCTTTAACCTGCAGTTACAAATGCATAGATAATGTTTTAATATTTTAAACAAAAAACGTCAAATACTGACATTTGAAATTATTAAAAAAATGAAAAGAAACTAAACACCGTCATGTTGCTCAGAGAGCAAAAACAGGCAATATGGTGTCTAAACTTTAGTCTCTTAATTAACTTTTTGTTTATTGAACTGTATCACATAATTTTAATATCACATTTGAAATCATGTAGATTTTTGGAAAAAAGAAACGACATTGATATATAAATGATATATAAACTATATTCAATTATATAAATTTATACATTTTCTGCTCCCATATCTTGAATTTTGTGATCATTCGAAATGTATTTTAATAAACTGAATTATACAGTGAAAGAACGCACTGTAAATGCGCACACGCACCAGTCTAAGGCACGTAACAAAAAAATGTGGCTTGGCATGATAGACAGTCTAATGGTCGAAGGAAATCCAATTTTAAACATATTTTACTGTACCCATTTTATGGCCCTTATATTACCTATTTGAGCCAATGCAGATGAATGAAGTTATCTCAGAACGAGACCGCCCTGATTGTAAAGCAAAACATGCTTGGCTATAGCAAGATCGTGCTATGATTGGTCAGCAAAATGTGGCTGTTATCTGATTGGCTTGAGTAGACGGTGGGTGGAGTTAGGGGTGTGCGATATTGACAAATTATATCTCGATATTTTATGGGATTTTATTGATAACGATAATTAGACGATATTTTGCTGAGTGTGTTATTGTGCTGGTACCTTAAGGACTGCCGAAGACAGCTGACTCCTAATGTTTGTAATATTCTTCATATTCTGTGTGGTGGTCAGTTCATACTGATAGAAATTAATATTTTCCAATAAGTTTAAACTGATTTTTGCATTTTATGGGCATTTTTACCTTTATAAAGCCATTTTTTCTAAAAGTGTCCATTATCTTTTGAGTCAAATTCTTACATTTAATCAGGGAATTAGAATAATAAAACATTTGGGCTGTTACCAAGCAAATTAAATCAACACAGAAGCTGCATCTGAAGTGGCATTTAGATGTATTTACACACATGTATTTTGTTTAATGCAAGACATGAATGCATTTAACCTGCAATTACAAATGCATAAATAATGTTTTGATATATTAAACATAA